TTAGACAGAAGGCAGACACACACGGCTGTCATTAGACAGTAGGCAGAGTTAGAAGGCAGAGTGAAAGCTCTGCTCTCCAAAATCATGAGCTGGAATTTCGTTGCCTTATTCGGAAAGAATACCACTGCAGTTAGTCCAAATAATGTGGCTGCTATCAGTCCACATAACAGCTGGGAAAGGGTGTACTTAAATTAATACCCCAAAGAACTATTGCCTAATAAGATTACCCAGTTTGGTCTCCAAACAGTTACATCAAGTTCTTATTAGGGGAGACCATAATGGCAAAGGACTAGGTGCAGAGATGCTATCTGTGCCACCATCTTCTTATCCACCACAAGCTAAAAGGTACAATAGGGAAGCAAGCCTCTGCTTCCCATGTGGGCGGCTGTAGGCCAAAGAATGTGGCAGAGAGCTGTTCTGCCAGAAGAGCAGGGCTTGGAAGTTTTCACTGTTTAGGCAGCAGTTGCCAACAGCCCACAGCCATGTGGCCACTGATTCACACCAGATCAGGGATTTGCGGGCGCACAGCTCCCAAAAAACCAAATAATTTCAAGCACTGCAGCAGAGAAGGGCAGTGAGCTCTGCCACTAGAGAGCTGTCTGATTGGCAGAGGCAACCATGGAGATCAAAACAAGCTCTTTGGAAGCATGTCAAGGGGCAGGATAGTAAAACCCTCAGGTTTCAAAGTCCAGTTGTCCCCTTAATGTGTTCCCAAACAGAACACCACCAGCCCTGGAGTCCATGTACTTAATTTTCTTCCAGTTAATGCAGGAAGGAGAGAAAATAGAAGAGAAAAAAACAACAGAAAAAGCTGCATGCTGCAGTGAGCCGACAGGCCTTTGAATGCAGAGGTTGCTCCATCACCAAGAGAGGCCAGCTGTTAGAAAATGAGTTATTATGTTGGTGCTGCTTTTTTTGCTTATATCTACAGCACATGATACAGTCTATCGTATTTTTCCATGTAAAAGACGGTACTTTTTCCTAAAATAATTGTAGGAAAAATTGAGTGCGGTCGTAAAACTGCCTACCCTATGCTGGTCAGTGGGATCTGGAGGAACCTCCATGCTGGGACCCACCCTCTCCATTTCTGTTTCTATTGATCTGAAGCAGCTCCTCCTTTCCTACAATCTGATCTGGAGTGGGGTGTGCATGCACCTCCCTGCCGGGACCCACCTCCTCCCACCCTCTCTGTTTCTGCTTCTGCTGACCTGAAGCAGCGGGCGCTATTCCTCCTTGCCTGCAAGCTGACCCAGAGTGGGGTGTGCATGCACCTCCATGCCCGGGATTCACCCCCTCCATTTCTGCTTCCGTTTACACTGCTGTTTCTGCCGCGGCTGCCCACCAGGTTGGGTTTTTTCCCCCCAATTTGGACACGTGCTCAGTCACCACTGGTGTAGGCAGTGCAGTCACTGAGCCCATAAATATGTCAGAATTTTTTTTTAAAAGCGACTGTCTTACTCTGCAAAATTCAAACTGAATGTAATCAGTTATGCAAAAAAGCATGGAAATAAAGCTGCAGAGAGACAGTTTGGACCTCCTCCCACTGAGTGTATGATCAGGCAGTGGAGAAAACAGGAAGAACAACTCCTTAAGATGCCGAAAAAGAAAAAAGCGTTAAGAGGAAAATCAGCAAAATGGCCAAACTTGGAGCAGAGGCTTAAGACTTGGATTCTGGAGCAGCGTCAGAGTGGGATATGTGTATCAACCAAGCTTATTCAACATCAGGCAAGCATGTTTGAAAGTGAAATGAAGATGGTTGATATTACAGGAAAGGCAAAATGGTGCTTCAATTTCATGAAGAGAGAAGGGCTAGCACAAAAATGCCACCTGTTTATGAGGATAAAATCCAGCCGTTTCACTCCTCTGTCACACAGCTTTGGAAAGAATTTGATTTTGGACCAAGTCAGATTGCAAACATGGATGAGGTGCCTCTCAATTTTGATGTGCCTTCCAACAGAACAGTTGATGTGAAAGGAATCAAAACAGTGGCAATCAAAACAAGTGGCCACGAAAAGACACACGATACTGCTATGCTTTCATGCTGTGCAGATGGTATTAAACTGCCTCCTATGCTTATTTTTAAGAGGAAAACTTATTCTAAAGAGACCATACCACGTGGCATTATTGTGCAAGTTCATGAGAAGGGATGGATGAATGAAGACGTCACAGCCATTTGGTTTGCAAAGGTTTCGTCCAGAAGACCTGGAGGGCTCTTAGAGAAGCCGGCTCTACTTGTCTTTGATCAGTTCCGAGCACATTTAACAGAAAAGACAAAAAAAGGTTGCATCGGATTTGCGAACACATCTAGCAGTTATTCCTGGTGGACTTACATGTCAGCTACAGCCACTAGATGTTTCAATCAACAAGCCATTTAAAATCCTGATGAGAGGAGAATGGAATAGATGGATTCAAAAAGCAGGTGGTAACTTGACACTGACAGGAAGAGAAGCTGAAGAAACTGATGTTTGAAACTACTAATAGTGATGCAGAAGAAAGCAATGGTGCAAATAGAGGCTGAATGGATATCATATATATAGACAGTGTCTTGAAAGACAGCAGTGATGCAATAGAAGCTGAAGAAACTAATGTTTGAAACTACTAAGAGTGATGAAGAAAGCAATGGTGCAAATAGAGGCTGAATGAAGTTATTTGCTCAGCTAAGGGTGATGCATAATATAGTACTGGCTTGTAAATGTTGCCTAATTACTAAATAAAAATGTGTTCCTTTCTAATGTTTAAAATATTGATTTCTGAATTTTTGGGTTAGAAAACTGGGGGCGTCTTGTACACGGGGGCATCTTATACATGGAAAAACATGGTATATGGCTAACTGTACACAATCTATACCACAGTTACAACTGGTGGCCCTCCAAATATTGTGTGACTATCATCCCCATCAGCCTCAGCGTGCACAATGAAAGGTGACAGATTACAGATACTATACTCCAAGACCATCTGGAATACCTCATTTTGTCTGGCGAGAATTTATACACATAGACTGTGAAGTAAATAATAATAGATATCTTAAGATGATGACTAGGATATTTAGTTAAAACTTTAATGGTATAATGAAGTGCTGAGACTCAGAAGGAAAAAAAAAGTGGCCTCTTAAACAAATTACACATCTTTCTTGATAGCACAGTCATATGTACGTCTGCTTGGAAGCCCTGTGAGGTCAGCAGGATCAATTTCTGAGTTCACCGGGACTTTTTCCAAGCCAAGTGTCTCTAGCATTATCTGCAGTGTAAAGGACTGCCTGTTGCCAGTATCCTCTCCCCCTCACCATGGTGTTTTCTTTTTTAAAAAGTCACAGAAAAATTCCAGAACATTAGAAAGCCTAGTGCTGCACCAACCAATGTTTCATTATTAAATCCATCTCTCTTATGCCACAAAGCCATTCTTCTAAAGAAATGGGGTTGGAAGATGTTATAATTATGGTTGCCATATGGAGATGCATAAGCAAGCCTGTATCTTCTTGAGCCATAGAACATATTCAGAAGGTCTTTAATTTCAAAATACATCCATCAATCTTTATGTGACACCTAGAATAATCTTCTTACATACTGGTTTGGCTGGGGTATAACCAGTTTAGTTTGGCTGCAATCTGAAACATATTCTCTTTAAAGCAAGCCCAACTTGCAACGACAACATGACGTAATCAGTCAAGCTTTGAAAACAACTTTTGCTTACACATGCAGCCACTTTATCGCTCAAACATTTAGGACACTGAACTATGATCTGAAGTTAGTTTACTGCTGTAATGTGTTTTGTAGCTAACAAGCCCAGTGTCACTGTTCATACAAAATGGAAAGTTTTTGGTAATTAGAGGCTTCCTGGTTAGACTGCTCACACTGTGGAGGGAAGAACAAAGATGCTTTGAAAATTCATTCCACGACATCTGAAGGACAGATGCGATGGCTGAGGGGGGGGGGGAACCTGAAAAAATTGGAAACTTTCAGGAGCATAGAAAAATAATCATATATACTATAGTACTTTCTCTTTTGAAATGAAAGAGATGCTTTCTCAAACTAGGGTTTCCTCACTCAACATGCCAGGCAAAGTATAGTATGACATTTGTTTGCAAGACAGTCTATTGAATTAGACAATGAAAACTGCTTCTCTACTTAATTTGATTTCATTACCTTACCTTAGAAACATTAACTTCACTATTATCCCATTTGTTTTTCTTCTTTTTAGGCTGACCATGAAATGTCACAACTTCAACTTCTGCCATGTTTCCCTGCTGGTCAGATTTCAGCTGGGCAGCATTGGAGGAACTGAATTCTGGGATACACTTTTCCTGATTAATACAGTCATAAGCCAGTTCCTCTTTCAGGCTATCAAAAAAGTTGGAGGACTTTTTCCTCTTGCCTGGAGTTACTGCACCAAATTCAGAATTCACATATCTGTCTTCTGATAAATTATTACTGGCTGTCTTTGTTGCTGTCGCCAGTGGATTTCTTTTTTGCCTTTTTCGCTTTTTGTTTTCATCACGTACTGGTTTGCCTGTAATATAAAAACAAACTCTTGTCAGTCTCCACATTTAGCTAAAGAAAGAAAGAAAGATTCTTCAGTGCCATGTTATTAGTGTAATCTGTTGAAATATTGTTTGCAGTTGACTCACAAACGATTGCCTGTTTAAATCACGGCTTCTTAAGGTATCTGAACACAAAAAACTTGTTCCTGGCTTATTTTCTCACCACCCACCCTGAAACAGGGAACAGAAAAGACAGGCAAGCCCCCTCCCCCCAAAAATTAAATGAAGCAATCAAGCCATTATTTGATTGCCATGGCTTAAGCAACAAACCATGATTAATACAAACCACAGCTTATTATACCATGCAGATAAGGTATAAGATATACCAAGATACCCAGGTACAGTATTATCTGGATTCTAGTTATCCACTGGGTGCCTGTTTGCACTATCAGCTGGCACAGATCCCAAGTTTTCCTTTTTTTAAAAAAGTAACTCTCTAGCCAACACGAGTACCAAGATATGAAGCAACGGCTGAAATCCTGTTGCATAAGTTTACGCCCACATAAACTGAGGATATAATCTGTGTTTTATTCCAATTTAAAACTTGCTATTTTCCCCTGGCTGGAGGGGGAGCTTTTGGGAACCTCAGAACAGGCAGAGGGAGACTAACGTCTGAAAATCATCTTCACCAGTCTTGTTGCTAGGATCAGAATTGGTAGTGGTGATTTTAGGATCTTAAAGGCTACCCCGTCCCAAGGCCCCTTGAAGCTTCCTCATGGCAAAAGAGGATCCCTACAGAGGCTCACAACTTGACCAGGGGGCACTGAAGCTTTATATTAGAGATGTAAATGTAATCATTGGTGATGTAATCAGCCTTCTGCAGGCACAGCTCTGCCAATAGGATTTCAGCTAATATGTGCAGTCACCATTGTACCCAATAGTCTTGTAACAAAGTCTTGTATCTTCTGATCAACCTTCTGCATGTTCAGTCAATGAATGAAGTCTCACGGTGATGACTGACATTCTCCCTTTCCTTAGAGATTTAAAACTGGAAAGTGAGCCACTTCTCACTATCCTGGGTAAATGCTTCAATGTGGAGAAAAAGCCATAGGAATGAATGGGGATGAGAGGAAGGATGCAACTAACAAAGTACCGAAAAGTAGACAAAAGCTGCGACTGCCATAATGAAATTATGGTGCCACAGTTTCTGTAGTTCTTGAGGCAACAAACCTGATGTGACAATATTATGCATTTCTAAGAGATTTCCAGAAAAATGTAGGTTTTATCTTATCTTCCATATGTTCCTAGAAGCTGAGCTGGATACCACACAGACTCCCACCACCCCCTGCCAATTTCGCCCCTGAATCTACCTTACTCCATTTGACAGTTAAACTTCTACTTGTAAAAATTACAGTCATTATGTGTTTTCTGTTTCATCAGTTTAAATATTCAGTGTCATAGGCAAGAGTATTGAATGAAAATCAAATCAAGGAGCTAAGCTTTGAACAAATAAGTTCTTAATTCAGAAGACTGAATAATCGCCACTCCTTCTGATGAGGTCAGTGAGGAGGTTAGGAAAATGTTGTTTCACCACCTACAAGGCAAAGTTATCCACTTTCTAGGAATGTCAGAAAAAGTCCCGTAAATATCAAGGTACTCACAAGGCAGCAAATTGTCACTTTTAAGGAATAGTACATACCCACTACCACAACTGTCAGATCACGCACAAGGCAGCAAACTGTCACTTTTAAGGAATAGTACATACCCGTACAATTGCACTCATTTCGCACGCTTCACCAAACAGAATCACAGCACTAAACTTCTAAAGATGTTTCAAGTCACATGATCATAGATGGATAAGCCAAAGAAAGATGAACTGTATCTGCTTATGAGTATTCTCAGGAAACACAACATGTCTGATTCTTTGAATGACTTTTATAACAACTTCTGAGTGGGAAGAACTTGATTCCCACACCTGAATGTTTGGTGGGCAGCACCACAACCTCTCAGCTTTTCACCTCTCTCAGAAACCTTGGGAGAACCATTTGCCATTTCAATGCAACACATGCACTATGGTTAGTCAGAAATAGGAAGTGACAGGCTGGTCATTTCCAGTTTTTTAAAAAGGCTAAGTCTGGATTAAATGAGGCTGGAAGGCAAAATTACAATTAAAAGGCATATTTCTTTCCTTGTAGGTTCTTCAGTAAAATTGGGGCAGGGTGTGTGTGGCTGGATAACCACATAGTGAGGCTTGAGAGGCTGAGAGAAAGATCTCCTGGAAAAGCATGAAAAGCAGATGAAGTTGAATGTCATTAGCACATTGGTGGTACCAAACTACAAAATTCTGGACAGCCTCGTTCAGGTTTTTCATGCGTGTGTGAAATAGTAGTGGGAATCATGGAACTCTGAGACATTCCACAGGCCAAGGAGTTGAAGAGACATCCCCTAGCACCATTGCCATTCATAAAGTGACAACAAGCAAGGGAAAATCCCAGATATACTTCTAACCGAAACACAAAGCAAACGTCAGGGCTATTTTTCAACAAGTGTAAATGGTAGTCAACAGAAGAGGGTATCCTATAGACTATCTTGACTGCTGCCATTGGTGTTGCCAACATTTAGGCTGCCCTTTGCTATGTAAAGTTCAGCATCCTTTTTCCTGCTGGCAACGTGGGCCCGATACTGTGCAGCAATATTGGGCCATTTCCTGGTGTTTAGAATTGTGGGCACAGAACCACAATATCCCTCATTTTTGGTTTTTAAAGAACTGAATTGTCTCTCTCACAGGAGCAAAAGTTACAGGGAAAGGTTGCTTTCCACCCTGCTGCTGGGGGCTTCTACTTTTTTCTAACTGCAAAAATTCAAACTGTGTTTTGCCGCTACCAGAGAACCACCCAAACACATGTTCCCTCCCCAATCCTTTGTAGAATGAAACAAACAACCACACAGGCAAAACATGGTTTGAATTATTGCAATTAGAAAAGAGTAGAAGACCCCAGCAGCAGTGGATGGAAAGGGGGTCCAGATTGGAAGGATGGTGATTTGTATTAAACTTTACATCATGTGATGATTGAAAACACTTGGAATTCACCTATGCCAATTCCAGTAAAAACTGAAAAATGTTTTCTATTGTAGTTGCATGCTAATATATCTACCTCACTGGAAAAGTTTTTGGGCTGTCTAGAAGTACTTTGGGTTTCGGTGACACCTTTGAGTACTTGACTGCTACATGCTGCTCAATTATTTGACATCAGTTACGTCTCAAATCTGCTTTGAGGTGTTTTGCTTATTTCTATTTGTTTCATTTAAAGTAAAATATTTGATGGTTGTTGTGGGTTTTTCGGGCTCTTTGGTCGTGTTCTGAAGGTTGTTCTTCCTAATGTTTCGCCAATCTCTATGGCCAGCATCTTCAGAGGACACGAGTCAGAGCTGGGGAATTGTGGTGATCAGTGTGTTTTTTGTTGTGGGTGTATTGTTGTGGCCAGGTATATACTGGAACCACAAAACGCAGCATCCACACCAGAATCAAAGAACCTGAGAGACACTGCAGACTAAAACAACCGGAAAAATCGGCAGTAGCTGGCAGTGAAAGCCTTTGAGAATATATTAAAAGATTTCTCATCCTTCTATCAGGACTCTGTTAATGGGGACTAACCTAAAATCAAACATCAGCTGCAGCCAGGGAATCAGAAGACAGATCTGGAAGGACAATTGTGAAGCAACTAAAAAGATTTGTACCAATTAGGATTATCACTGGAAACCAAGGCCAAGATCACTACCCACACAATCACTCATTTTCTATATATTATTAGGCACATGTGAAACCTAGCCAGTTGATGAAAACGGACAGGGGGAGATCAATTAATTCAAAATGTTGGAGAAGAGATTTATGGATATCGTGGGGCCCCGAAAGACGAATTAATTATATCCCTCTATCACAAATAGGCATCTACCTACACGTGGTCACACACTAAGGAAAGGCTTCCCACAGAGGACCTCTGTAACGTGTGAATAGTAGCGTGTGCCGCAGAGCAACAAAAAGGTAGGCCGAAGGTGGAGCGAGAAAAGGATGAAGCAGAATTAAAGAGACACGTGTTAGACCCCTCCCACGTAGATAAACGGGGAGCCGCCTGACTCAAACGATCTCCTCGAGTCCCGCGGCTCCTTTACGCACCAAAATCATACAGGTCGTTCAGGACGGCGTCTAGCAGGCGGCTGGCGGGGATGAGACTTTTCGCTGTATCTGCATCATCCTCCGGCACGAGCTCGCTGTCGGTCCCCCTCGCCTTGCCGTCTTTCCCCATTCCTCCAGCCCAAAGGAAGTCAGCCAAACAGCGCGCAGAAAGAAGAGTTTTGTCCCCCCGCGACCACCATCAGGCCCAAAATGGCGGCGCCTACCGAGCACTTCCGCCCTTCACCCGCCACTGACTGACAGGCTCCCTCCTTCGGACTTGGCGTGAAAAGCAAGGAGGCCGACCCGCGGGGGCAGGTTAATGGGCGCTGCCGGTCTCCGGCCGAGGGAAGCCCGGTAGAGGGGGAGTGAGCTCAGCCGACCGAGCAAGGGGTGCTGCTGCAAGGGGAAGCCGGCAATGACAGCGGCGGCGGCCGGGGCGATCCCTCGGCGGGGGCCCCCCATGTACTCGGTAGGTACTGCCTTGCTCTCCGGAGGCGGGGGTTTAGAAGGTCTCCCCAGTCTGGCTTCGGGGGAAATAGGGGCAGGGGCGGCGGGGGTGGTGTCGTGAACCTCGCGGGGGAGCGGGCCCTGCCGAGCCTGGCTGCTTCCTCCTTCGGAAGCGAGGGCGGTGCCGCTGCGTGGCACCTGCGTGGGTGGGAGTCCCGTACCGGGGAGGCTGTTAGGGCAGTCACCTCTGCTTTATGGGTTGGAAATCTATGAGGAAAAGATGCCTGCAGGTAGCAATTCAATAGGGTGGCTCTCCCGTTCCGGCTAGGAAATTGCACCTGCTGCATTGTTGCCTGCTTGGCCGTTCTTAAAGGCACAGGGTCTCCCTCTCTCTCTCTTTCTTCTTAAGCCGATGGGTTGCCTTGAAGAAGGGGAGAGAGAGCTCTCATGTTGCAGTGCCTGGAACTGACCAGCTCCAGGTACTCAGGTCTTTGACACCACTTCGGGTCCGTGTGTGTATATGCGTGTGCACGACTTGAAAGTGAGTGAGTATGAAGGCAACTTTAAAATGCTTTTATACGAATGCTTCACAATATATACTTTAGAATTTTGAAGAGACCCTTGTCCAGCAGGCCAAGGCAAAGAGGCAGTCCCAAAACCAGCAAAATCAGGGAGCTGGAGAGGGGACAGACTGCATTTGTCTTCAGTGTGGAAGGGATTGTGACTCTTGAATTGGCCTCCTCAGCTGTTCCAAGACCTCCATACAGAGCCTGTTACCATAGTCTTTTGAGACTGAAGGATGCCTAATGAATGAATATACTTTAGAACAGTGGTTCCCGATCTTTGGTAATCCAGGTGTTCTTGGACTGCCATTCCCAGACGTTTTAACTGCCAGCTGTGCTGGCTGGGATTTCTGGGAGATGTAGTCCAAAGAACACCTGGGTTACCCAAGGTTGGGAACCATGTTCTGGATTGTTGTGAAATACAGACTTAGAGTTTGCCTCCTTGATACAGTATGTTTATTTTGAATTAAACATCACCGAACTATCATTGAGCTTGTTAATCATCATACAGTATTTGATCTTGTATAAAACCTGCATTTTCTTCTGATTGAAGCAGGGCATGGGGATTTGGCAAAGTCTTGCACCAGGAATAGATGTGACCTTTTGTCAACACAGATTGTTTGAGTAGCATTTTAATCTCACAGGCACTTGGAATTGCATCATTGCTGATCCAGATTTCTTATTGGATTGTAAGAGTTGGGAGTGTTTTACCTATAAGGCTTTTAAATGTGCCAACGTGTCAAGAGGGTACTTAAAAAAAAAGTTCCAGGAATAATTTTAGAGTTGGAAAAATGGGGCTGATCAGATATTCTTCATCTCCATATATTGTTGTTGATCTTGCAAAACACAAAGCCAGACTGAAAATTGCAGATTCTTTTCATGATATCTGCCAAATTGATTTCTCAGCAGTTGGTAATTTGCGCATATCATTCTGGAATTCTGTGGCTGTGTGCAACCTCATGTTGTCAACAGTGGTATCTTCTCTGATCTTTTCCCATTATAAATGATGTAAAATAAGGTTTTGCTCTTGCTCCTTGTATTTTCTGTCTTATGTTTCTTTTGATGCTCTGGGATGCTTACAAGGAAGTGAATGCTGGTGTTGATGTTCAGTATCACACTAATGGGAAATTGTTCAGTCTTCAGTGTCCTCAGGCCATAAACAAAGTCGTACTTTGCACAGTCTGTAAGTTTGTACAGTATTTGCCAATGACTGTGCTCTTAATGCAACCATACTATGTGTATGTGAAGAAGTCTTCATATATATTCTCCTCTGCCTGTAGTAATTTTGATCTGAAGATCAATATTGATAATACATTGGTGACGAGAAAATTGAACAGTGATATGTCATATCCCTTTTTATTTGGATTCCTGCATCGATCAGGAGGTTGGACTTGATGGCCTTATAGGTCCCTTCCAACTTTATGATTCTATGACTCCCGCATTACTGCAGTAGATGAGTCCATGTATTTTGGCACCACTGTCTTCCACTATGTTCTTCTTGATGATGAAGTAACATTACAAATCTCTAAAGCCAACACTGTGTTTTGATCCTCTGTGTGGAATTGATATAGAATCAATCTAAAGTTTGATCCTCTGTGTGGAATTGATATACTGTAGAATCAATCTTTCTTTTAAATCAAAGGTGAACAAAGCTTTCTCTCCTTTATGGAGAGAAGAGACTTGGACTTTCTTTGAATGTTGTGCAAAAAAGCTCAGTTATTTGCATCTTACCTGTCTTCTGAGAATTCTCAACATCAAATGGCAGCATGAAGTCCCTGGTATTGAAATCTTAGATTAAACCCAGATAACAGATATTTTTATAATTTGGTGCTGGTATTTTTCTTTTGCTTAGAAGTCTCAAATATATGGCCTTCTAGAAGTTGCTGGATTGTAACTGGCATCACCCTATGGTGAGGGACCATGGGTGTTGCAGTCAACACAGTGGGAAGGGTAACATGTTGTCGGAGATCTTATTCATTCTGTTGTAATGTAAAGTTTCACCAGCAGAAATAGTGTAAGTGTTATGCCAAGTCTATCAACATTGCACAATTTGATAATGCAAACAGTTGCACAATTTGATTGCACTTTCCCCTACCATGATTTTCTGTACTGATCCTGCACCTCTACATTGCACACATGTAACTGCTCAACATGATTTCAACCATTATATGAAAGGAAGATCAGATAGTAAAATCTGTTTTAATTGACACATGGAGTCGTTTCAGATGCAAATTATATTTATAGATTCCAGACAACATTTAATGTATAGTGTGATTTGGACTACAATGTCTGCGTTGGGAATATTAACATGTGCCCTCCTCATGTTCTTGTGCTCCAGCTTCTGGCCAGCAAAGCCAGGAGTCAATGATAATGGGACTTGTAAGTCCAATAACATCTGGAAAGGCAGATGTTATTCTCACCTGCTCCATATCTTACTTGTGGCAGTGAACACTCCAGCTTGTGGATGTTCCAGACTTCCCAGGGAACCATTCTGCTAGACACTAGCCTGACTCCAGCTGATAGTCCTAATTGGAGTATGTTTTGGTAATCTCCAAGAGCCAGCCAATTGAAGTGTGCTGAAATAACCTTGTTCTTCACTGCTGCCTAAATGCTGGAGCAAGGGGAAGTCAACTGGGACCTGGCACAATAGAATCCCACAGCCAAGATGCTGGAACAAAGAAGGTTCCATTTTCTTTATCATTTTAAAAGTAATACCAGCACTTTGGACTCAGTAATGTATAGGGACACACTGAACTGAGATGGCATAGGAGCTATATACTCCAAACTGGCCTTTAGGAAAAATCAGACTGCTGTGTTCTGGACAAGCTGTAGCATAGCAAAGAGAAGGATATTGCATGCAGTATGTAAGGGATATGCAAAGATGGTCATGCCACTTTTATGATTTCAGCTTATGTTTTAGGAGGACAGTTTTTCAGAGACCATATCAGATTACATTCTGCATACATCAGGTCAGGGGAGATGTCTTGTTTCTCTCCAGAGGGTTTGGAGACTTAAGATTTCTGACAGTCCCAGTTAGCATGACTTGTGCTAAAAGACTGCAGGAAGAGTTGTTCAAAACCTCTGGAGTTGCCTATCTTTGTAAAAGGCAACTGCTGCTTGTCTGCTGCAGTGCAGCCCAATATGTGTCTATTGAAAAGTAAGCCTCATGGTGTACAGTGGGGATTACTCCCAAATTTGTTGGCAAAGAATGGTATGGTGTTATATATGATGAATGCAAGTCATGACAAGGTCAGTAGGATTTCCTTTTTGGTCTTATAAAGCCCAATAGTTAGGTTTTGTGGCTTGATAATCTCTCCCCCTTATCACAACAATACACCCACAACAAAAACATGCTGATCACCATAATCACCCAGTCTCCTGAAAAGGACAAAAGTGGATCCCACAGCTATAAATACTCAACTATCTAAGAAACTGCACCAGAGCACAGACAAAGTTCTGTCTTCTGAAGATGCTGGCTACAGAGTTTGGCAAAATGTTAGGAAGAAAAACCTTAAAAACATGGCCAAACAGCCCGGAAAACCCACAACCACCATCAGATCCCGGCCATGAAAGCCTTCGAGAATACAAATCCCATTGAACTCAGTAGGACTGACGTTTTCTGAGCAGATGTGCTAGAATTGCACTGCATATGGATTAATATATTGCCTGCATTTGTGGATATCATTTTGGCCAGAATAGTGGCTATAGTTATTTATGCATCTAAAAATCAGTCACAGATAGTTTTAGCATTGGGGTGTACAGCACCCAGACCAACTTGGATTGTGTGCCAGGTTTCATCCAGGGTGTGGTAATCTTTTGTCTATCCAGTTCATGCAAATACATGTTTGATTTATTTATCCACTTGTGTACTTGCTGAAAGATAAATGAATGAATGAGCTGTCTTAAAGTGGACTGTGCCTAATTCTCTGTTTGTGATGTTCCCAGCAGAAAAACCTCATGTCAAAGAAAAAAGACGACTTTGAAGATATCTTGGAAGAGAGGCGGCAGTCCAGTGACCTCAGATATGCAATGAAATGTTATACTCCTGTTGTTTATAAGGAACTTTCTCCATGCAAGCCAAGTGCCATTAAAACAATTGTTTTACAGTCTGAACAAGTTCAGTATGTCATCAGACAGGTCAGTAAAATTCGTGTGTGATGTTTTGCCATGGGTCCTTTTTAAGAAGAAAGGCGGGATAAAAATATTTTAAATAAATAAATAATCTACTACTCAATTTATTTGTAGTTTCTTATTACTAGTAACCTGAACAACATTCTTGTTTCCTAAGGGCTTGGCTACACTGCTCATTTGAAAGGGGCTGGTGCAGACTAAATAGGGTTATAGGTAGATATCCCATATCCCAGGTGGTGCAATCTTTGCATCCACATGGCGTTCACACCTCAAGTGACTATTTATGGTCTGCCTCCTTTGACAAACTGAAAAGAAAAGCTGAAGATAAAATAAAAGAAAATCTCCTCCTTGCCCCCTCCCACTTCTAGAAGGAAGCTTTAATTTTAATTTTTTTTTCTAAAAGTTACTGCACTTCATTGCTGCGTTAAATAATTTTTTTTTAAAGTCTTCCCCTCTGTGCTCCATGAAGAAGCAGAGGAAGAAAGGAAGTTTTCAAATTTCCAACTTCAATCTCCTGTAAGAAAGCAAAGGAAAAAAAATCTCCCCCTTGCTCCCTCATGTCTCCTCCGGCTTCTGAGAGGAAGTTTTCAATTTTTAAAATTTTCTCTAAGAGGTAAAGTACATCAGTGCTGCCCTGATTGGCTTTTTAAAAAGCCTCCTTCCTCTGCTAATGAAGCAGAAGGGAAAAGCTCTTAGTTTCCAAATTATAACTTATTATTAAATGGTTAAGCTGTCTGTTTTAGCTACTAATGATATGGGGAAATTGAAACCAGCTAGGAAATGAACACTTGCGTTGGTTCAGGTCCAGTGATTCCATGCAAAATGGAGCAATCTTTCCCACACCTGAAAAACAGTAGCTCCTTTCAGAGACCCAGAAAGGTACAGCTAGGAATGCTTTAAGGTTTGGCTGGTTTGCTCTAGCAAATAACATCATCTGGAAACCTCCAAAAAGAATGAACCAGCCCGTCCCCTCAGTGAGCCAAATAGCAGGCTAAATCCTTTTTGGTCACGCTCTAACTGTGGGAGTCTTTTCTTTCTTTTTTTTCTTTCTGGAAGCAGGATCTTTCCAAGAGTTATAACAGATACTCTTCCCATGAAATAATTACTGATGCTGTTTTATGCACTCTGCCTACTTGACAACTCCCTGGGGAAAGTGTCCAGATGAGAAAGAGAAGTGTTGGATTTGCCATCTGTGTGATTGTCAAATTACATTGCCCTTTTCTGTCTTATTTATTTTAAATATTTATACCCCATCTCTGTCCTCATGAGGCTGCAAGACAGCTTACAAGATTAAAAACAAACAACATACAACTGGAAGGGGTGGGAAACAAACAAACAAAAACCCAAACCAAGTCCAGCACTGCAACTCTTAGGTAGCCAGTCACCTTGGTAAAGTCTGCCTAAAGGGAGCCGTTTTTGCCTGCCTGCAGAAGGATGGGAAAGAGGAAGCCCATCTCTTCATGGGTGTCTGTTGAACTCCAGTGTAAGGGGTCAGTTTTCTCAGTAATGTATGTAGGCAGTTAGTTCCTCCTCAATAAAGAAATTAGCTAGGCAAAATGAAATTGTTCTCCTTGTCATGTCCCATGTGCTTAACAGTTTCCTGTTTCGTGTTGTATGGGCTTTACTTACAACTTGTGTTGCTAGGTTCATGCCAGTTGACTATAGTAGATGTTGATCTTGCTTTTTAGGGCCATTTGTAGCTAAAAGTCCCCAATATCCCTTCTGATGAGGTGAGTGAAGTCTGCTTAGTTCTGCAGATGCTGGCGCAAGAAGATAGAACTTCAGTTCATTCTCAAGAGACTGAAAGGATCATTTGCAGAGCATAGCCGAGATGAATCCTGTGTAGCCTGTATAATTAAATTGTAAACTGCCCGGAGAGTGCTTGTAGCGCTATGGGACGGTATATAAGTCCAAAAAAATATATATATATCCTAAAGTCAGGTTCTGGTTTAGGCCTAGTGGTAAAAAATGGTTTTTCATTAGTGGCTAAGCATTGAGGTGACTGTGACTGTTGATGACACCAGCCCAATGGGTTCAAATTGCAAGAAAAGAAATGTTGACAAAGCATTAGGAAAACTCACTAACAGCAAAAGCTATTTGTCAAGGGACTACCTCAGAACGCAAGACTAAATAAGACTCTCCTTTCTTGAAGATTTCTAAATAATTGCTCAATGATCATCTGTCCCGGATGGTTTAACTGTGAATTTCCTTATATTATTTTAGGAGTCCTAACACCAAATTGGCATTCTTTCATTTGTTTTGTTCAGTTATCAAAGGAGACAGGTGAATCACTTGACATTATACAAGAGGAAGCAGCAGAAATTCTGGATGAGATGGGGCACAGCATGCATATGGGAGCTGTACGGTTTTTTGCTTTCACACTGAGCAAGATATTTAAATGCCTTTTCAGAAGTATTTGTGTGAATGAAGATGGCATGCAGAAAGTAAGTATGTGTATGAAAATGTAGAGAATAACTGAAATGTTTTAAATACATAAATTTTATGTCAGTGTAATTGAGGTGAATTTGTGTGAGCCTCCAGATGTAGTGATCACATGTTAGCCTGGCAGCTTCAGATTTCACCTGTTCCTAGAATTACCTTTTTAAAATTTTTGGGCTAAATAGCTACACATTGACCTGTAAATTGTCACAATGGCATAGCAGTCAAAATGCAATTTTAAAAAATAATTTTATCAGTTGCTGAATTTTCAGTAATTTAAAAATCAAAGAGCCTAGGATAATTCTGTTTACCAGAGAAGGTATGTGTATTTCAGTGACTGCTAATACTGGATTTTTGTGCCTGTATTTCTGAAAATGAATATTAAGAAGCAAGTGATAGCTTTTGAAAACCAAGCCCCCAAACCATTTGTGGTTGTCATAGCTTGTTTAGTTAAAACCTTTATCATTCTTTGCTGACATTTGTCCTGTTTACGTTTTAAAACTGAAATAATTGTTCTTCCAGTGTTAAGGTTCACGTCATAAAATACCGTATTTTTTGCACCATAAGACGCACTTTTCCCCCTCCAAAATGTGGGTGGGGAAGTCAGTGCGTCTAATGGTGTGAATGCAGCAATTTCGTCGCTGCTGGCCCCGTGGGGGAGAGCGTCGCAAGGGTCCGGGTGAGCCTTCCAGGACCCTTGCGAGGCTTCCCCACCCCCCCACGGGGCCAGCACCGGCGAAATCGCCAGCTTCCAGGTGGGGGGAACGTCGCAAGGGTCCTGGAAGCTCACTCAGATCCTTGCGACGCTCCTCCCACCCACGCACCGGCCAGCACTGGCAAAATCGCCAGGTTCTGGGAGTGTTTTGAGGCTCCCCAAGCCTCCAAACACTCCCGGAAGCTGGCAATTTTACCCCCCCTGGCCCCATGGGGGGGTGGGGGAGCATGGCAAGGGTCCAAGGGAGCCTCCCATGACCCTTGCCACCCTCCCCCCAACCCCCCACGGGGCCAGCCCTGGCGAAATCGCCAGGTTCTGGGAGTGTTTGGAAGCTTGATAAGCCTCCACAAACTGCCTTGCAGAGGGAGGAGGAGGGTGAGGGGAAGAAAGCTGGTGGCAGGAATAGGGTTGCCAGATGTCCAGCAAAAGGAGGACATGTCCTCCTTTTGAGCCTAATGTCCTCTGTTCGGCAGGAAAAGATAAAAACCTTTAAAATGTCCGGCTTATGTATATTTTATGTTATAATTTTGGATGGGAGGGGGAAAGGTGGAAGGCCCCCTCCCCCTTTCTTTCCCCGCCCCACCCACCCATCCCTCATTAGCTGCTGCTGGTGCCATAGTGCAGCCCTTGCCCTCTCCCACATTGGCGGTGGCCGTTTGGTGATCCTCCATGTCCGCCCAGCCTACATGGAACCCAAAAAGGCAGCATGAGTGGAGCGCCACCCGCCGAGCCAGGCAGGAGCAAGCAGCGCCCGAGCGCATCAACGGGAAGGCGAGCACCCAGACTGTGTGTGTTCAAAGTCCCCTTTGGGGACTCCAACTCCCACACTCCCCAGCCTCAAACTTATGACCTTCGAGGGAGCCAAACACTCCCAGAAGCTGGCGATTTTAACCTCCCTGGCCCCATGGGGGTGGGTGGGAGCCTGGCAAGGGTCCAAGGGAGCCTCCCACCCCCCCATGGGACCAGGGGGGGTAAAATCGCCAGCTCCCGATTTTACCCCCCCTGGCCACGTGGGGGTGGGTGGGGGGAGGGTGGCATGGGTCCAAGGGAGGGTCCCTTGGACCCTTGCCACCGTCCACCCACCCACCCCCACGTGGCCAGGGGGGGTAAAATCGGGAGCTGGCGATTTTACCCCCCCTGGTCCCATGGGGGGGTGGGAGGCTCCCTTGGACCCTTGCCAGGCTCCCACCCACCCACCGCCACGGGGACAGCGGGGGCAAAATCGGGAGCTTCCAGGACCTTTTCTGAGCCTGGAAAGGCTCAGAAAAGATCCTGGAAGCTGCCTATTTTGCCCCCTCTGTCGCCCGGGGGAGGCAGGGTGAGTCTCCAAAGGGTCCTAGGGTGTGTTCTAGGACTCTTTGGAGACTGACCCTGCCTCCCCTGGGGGCCAGAGGGGATGAAATCACCACCTTTGGGGGCTCTTCTGAGGCTTGGGAAACTTCAGAAGAGCCCCAGAAGGTGGCGATTTCACCCCCTCTCGCCCCCGAGGGAGGCAGGGGGAGGCTCCAAAGGGTCCTGGAACACACCCTAGGACCCTAGGGTGTGTTCCATAAGATGGACCTCTCCATAAGGCTCACCAAATTTTAGGAGAAGAAAGCAGATAATTTTTTCCTGTTTTCTTCTCCTAAAAATTTGGTGTGTCTTATGGAAAGGTGCGTCTTATGGAGCGAAAAATACGGTATATTCTGGTATGAATGCCAGCTTTGTTTAGAAATGGGTCTTAACTTACTGGATCATGTAGTATGGAAGCTCACTGGGGCTGTGGAACTGGTAAAACCACTCCTTAAACATCTCACGTACTTTGAAAGCCCTATAAGAGTTAATATATGTCAGTTCCAGCTTGACTGCACATAACAACAAAATATTATTTTAGGAGTGGCATTATTTCATTTGAAAAAACCTTGTGTTTACACCCATGAGGTATATACTGGAGCCATTTTCTGTGTTTTTCTTTCCTGTATCTTGTTATGGGATATAGCATATACTTGTTACGTCTTAACATATCCTTCCAGTTGATATCTCAAGGGAAAATCTGAAGTAACTGTAAAATAAATTTTAACCATGTGATCACTTTAGAAGACCAATTGAAATTCTCTTTGAATATTGCAGTGATAATCTTGTTCTTTGTTAGTTACAACAGGCAATACAAGAGCATCCAGTTGTTCTGCTCCCCAGTCATCGAAGCTACATAGACTTTCTCTTATTATCTTATATCCTATACACATACGATTTGGCTTTGCCTGTCATTGCTGCAGGAATAGGTACATTTCCCTTTTTATTATTCACATTCTTTTTTCATAATTCAATTATCAGAATTTTATGTTGGCCTCAATTGGATTGGCCAACAGAGAGAATTTAAACATTTATGTTCATCTTTGTGTGCTTGCAGTATATCCCATGATTCTTTACAGAAACAGAGGTTACAGAAATTCTGGCGAAGATTTCAAAGACTGTTGAATGCATGCTTCTGTTGATCACACAGTAGGCGTGGGTTATTTTGAGGAAATTATAGTGGGTATCATTATTAAAATGTGAGAATTACCCTTGCAAAAATAATTCACTGGATGAAGATTTAGCAAAGATTTGTGAATTAAAGGTTGTAACAAAAATATATTTAAGATGCACAAAATGTAGCACAACTGCTAAGGTAGTAGAAATATAAAGTACAGTATAGGAAATGAGAGTGATCTTGAGTGCAATACCTTTACAAATGCATATTAAGTATATTTTGTGGTTATCCTGAAAAGCAGGTGCAATTTTTACTTTGGTAAAAAAAATTCATAGTACAAGTGTAGAATATTTCCAGAATATATCTTGGTAAAACTTGCTTCTATTTGTGCCAACCGGAAATCATATTTTGTCTTTCTAATGGATTAACCACTCTCATTTTCATCAGTGACCTTGAGCTAAATGCCTTTGAGCACATTGACTTATTTTGCTAATTGATTAATTGTGCAATATGTGCTTTTCCTAGATTTCCTGGGAATGAAAATTGTGGGTGAACTGCTACGTAAATCAGGTGCCTTTTTTATGCGACGTTCATTTGGTGGAAACAAACTCTATTGGGCCGTGTTTGCTGAATATGTAAAAACTGTGTTAAAGGTAGATACTCTGAAATTGCCCATAGCTTTAATATTAAGTTTTGAAATTTGTTAAGTGTAGCAACTTTTAGAATTGTATGTAAATACCTGTCTGCCTTGTAGATCAGAGCACTGGATTAATTTTTGTATTTGATTAACCACTTGTTCTGCTTGTAAACAGATTCTATGGATAGACTTTGTAGTTCTTATTATCCAAGGCATGTAGATATTACTTTAAAATGTTATTATATATTTTTTAAAATTATATACTGTATTTCTAAAAACTAAGATTCTTGTTGTTGCTAGTAGCTATTTTTTGTCTTCTTTTTGTTATGAAGAATGGATATGCCCCTGTTGAGTTTTATCTTGAAGGGACAAGAAGCCGGACTGCAAAGACTTTGACTCCAAAATTTGGTATGTTCCGAAAGCTGCATCATTTATAGAATTATCATATTTATAATAGCTATGTAGGAAATGAGCAGTGTGTTTGACTAAAGGCAATTCTAGAAATATATGGTGGGCTTTAAAAGTAGTTAATCTTGGTATTTAAATGAAGAGTATTTATTTAAATTAAATTTAAAATCTAAATAAAATGTACGTTCTGTTCCTTATTACAGGTCTCCTCAACATTGTGATGGATCCTTTCCTTAAAAGAGAGGTGTTTGACATTTATCTTGTCCCAATCAGTATCAGCTATGATAGAGTACTAGAAGAATCTCTTTATGCACATGAACTTTTAGGAGTCCCTAAACCAAAAGAATCTACCTCGGTAAGGAAGCAGGTTCAGCAGATGAAAGGTTGGGCATTCTAGGTGCAAAACTTTCCTTTCCCATGCTTTTGTTGTAGCCTTGTTTGGACACAGAGTTAAATCATGATTTATCTTTTTGAGACTTGGGTTTGATTACTCCCTTTCCTCCTCGTGCAGCCACAAGGAAGAATTTGGAAGCTTTTGCTTGTATTACAGATTAATTGCCACTTTTCATGATATCTGACACTTTCTTTAGGCACTTTTACCCTTGCCCCCAAGAATCACACTTCGGGAAAAAATACAACATTTATTCAAAAAGAGTAAAAAGTTATAAAGCAAAATAAATACAAAAAGACACAATTGTACTGGTTAAATGCCAAGCATCTAAGTATTAAATAAGCTTCTGTATTAAGTAATAGTTTTACTACTTAATTATTACTTAATACAGAAGCTTATTTAATACTTAGATGCTTGGCATTTAACCAGTACAATTGTGTCTTTTTGTATTTATTTTGTTTTATAACTTTTTACTCTTTTTGAAGTAAGTAATAGTTTTACTACTTAATTAAGGGACGTGGTGGTGCTGTGGGCTAAACCGCAGAGGCCTGTGCTGCAGGGTCAGAAGACCAAGCAGTCGTAAGATCGAATCCACACGACGGCGAGAGCTCCCGTCGCTTGTCCCAGCTCCCACCAACCGAGCGGTTCGAAAGCATGCAAATGCAAGTAGATAAATAGGTACCACCTCGGTGGGAAGGTAACAGCGTTCCGTGTCTAAGTTGCACTGGCCATGTGACCACGGAAGATTGTCTTCGGACAAAAACGCTGGCTCTATGGCTTGGAAACGGGGATGAGCACCGCCCCCTAGAGTCGAACACGACTGGACAAAAATTGTCAAGGGGAACCTTTACCTTTACCTCACTACTTAATTACTAGGCTATTCTAAATCACCATTGCTAATATCTCCTAATCAATCCATTACTAGGCTATTCTGAATCACCATTGCCAATATCTCCTAATCAATCAACAAAAGCTTTAAACTTGTCGTCCATCTTCTGTCCTTCAGCTTACACACACACACATACCCTAACCCCCCTTTCTATAACGTAAATCAAAGTCTCTGCTTCATGATGGTATCCAATCAGTATACAGTCCTTTGTTTACAAGTCCACTCCCAATTTGTAACTTTCCACAGCTCACGTCTTTCGTTCCCATGCTGGTAGGCCATTAGCAAGTAACACAGCCTATGGAGTTCCAGGTGCTTTGATCAAAGCTGTTTCCTGCAAATGAAACCCATATCCTCACACTGGTATTATGGAAATGAAAATCAAATGATAAATATTACTGTGAATAATAGAATAATTAATATAGGCATACCTATCTCAACCATTGTGAATGTCTCTCCCCTCCATGTCTCTCTCTCTCTCTCTCTCTC